AACATGAGATCGATAGTGAGATCGATAGTGAGATCGACAGGTGCCCCGAGGTGTACCGTGTTGTCCCGTTGATTGAGATCGATAGTCAGATCGATAGTGAGATCGATAGTGAGATCGATGTGGTGTCCCGAGGTGTCCCGTGGTGTCCTATGATATCCCGTTAAACGAGATCGATAATATGATCGATAGTGAGACCGATAGTGTGATCCAGAGGTGTCCCGCGGTGTTCCATGGTGTCCCGTGGTGTCCCGTGGTGTCCCGTTGAGTGCGATCGATAGTGAGATCGATAGTGAGATCGACAAGTGTCCCGTGGTGTCCCGTGGTGTCTCGTGGTGTCCTGTTGAGTCAGATCGATTGTGAGATCGATTAAGTCAGATGTTGGTTCCTCCCTCTCTCTCTCTCTCTCTCCCCCCCCCCTCACAACTTCCTTATCACCCGAAGGGTGGTCGTATAGGTAATCGATATGCTTTTGCTGTGTTACTCTCTGGGCGGGCCCGAACTCAATCTACTTTATCCGCCTTCCCACTTCATGTTTCCACCTACTTCTTCCGATCGATGGGTACTAATAATGATGATGATGATGCTGGTGGTGATGGTGATGCTGGTTATGATGATGCTGATGGCTGTGATGATAAGGATTATCATGATCATCATCATTATCATGATGGTGATTATGACGCTGGCGACGACGAAGATGCTGCTGCTGATGATGATGATGATGATGATGATGATGATGATGACGATGCTGATGCTGATCATGATGATGCTGCTGCTGATGATGATGACGATCCGCACGATGATGCTGATGCTGCTGCTGATGATGATGAGGAGGAGGATGATGATGATGACGCTGCTGCTGATAATGCAGCTGACGATGACGATACTGTTGTTGTAGCTGTTGATGATGCGGATGCCGCTGCTACTGCTGCGGCTGATGCTGCTGCTGCTGCTGCTGATGATGATGCTGCTGATGATGTGATGATGCTGATGCTTCTGCTGCTGCTGCTGATGCTGCTGCTGCTGCTGCTGATGATGATGATGATGATGATGATGATGATGATGATGATGATGATGATGATGATGATGATGATGATGATGATGATGATGATGATGATGATACTGATGATGATACTGATGATGGTGATGATGATGATGATGATGGTGATGATGATGATGAGGATGGTGCTGATGACGACGGAGAAGGGAGGGGGGGGTGGAGTTGGAGGAGGATGAGGTGGAGGAGGAGGAAAGAACGTGGGGCGCGATCTCTTCGAAACGAGGACCTAACACCACAGGATGGTTGGGGGAAAAAGGGCCACTGCCAAAAAGTGCTTCCCATCCTGGAGCCTCGGCCTTCGAGCCCCGATCCCCGACCCCCGAACTTCGTCTTCGACGGCGCCAACGCCGACTCTAGCGCCGACGTCGACCCCGACGGTGCCGCCGCCGACGACAGTAGGGGAGGGCCGGCCTCTTCCTCCTCGTCCTCCTCCTCCTCCTGCTCCCCCTTCCCCCCCTCCTCCTCCTCCCTTCCTCCTCCTCCTCCTCCTCCTCCTCCTCCTCCTCCTCCTCCCTCCTCCTCCTCCTCCTCCTCCTCCTCCTCCTCCTCCTCCTCCTCCTCCTCCCCCTCTTCTTTCTCCTCTTCCTCCTCCTCCTCCTCCTCCTCCTCCTCCCCGGAAGGCTAGAGGCCTTCTGAGCCTTCCGGGAAGGCCCGCCCCCTGTGCCTTTCCCCCCGTTGGCGCGCCGTCGAGCACTACACGACGACGACGACGACGACGACGACGACGACGACGACGACGACGACGACGACGACGACGACGACGACGACGACGACGACGACGACGACGACGACGACGACGACGACGACGACGACGACGACGACGACGACGACGACGACGACGACGACGACGACGACGACGACGACGACGACGACGACGACGACGACGACGACGACGACGACGACGACGACGATGTGGAGGCCCATGCGGCACCTGGCGGCCCTCGCCGCCCTCGTCGCGGCCGCCGCCGAGGCGCCGTGGGAGCCCCCGCGAGCGGAGGCCGCCAGTCTGCCCGGAGTCCCTCGGCATCGCCGTCGCAGCCGCCGCCGCCGCCCTCGCCGGCGTCGCCGGCGTCGCCGCTGTCGCGGCTGTCGCCGTCGCCGTCGCGTCGTCGCCGCCGTTTTCGCCGTCACAATCGTCGCTGCGGTGGTCTTCGTTGTCGTCGCCGTCGTCGTCGGCGCCCTGCTGCCGCTTCCAGTCCTTCAGCGGGAAGACCATTGGAGGAGGGAGGAATGGAGGGAGGCAGACGGGGGGGCGAGCGGGCGGAAGGAGGGCGGGACGGAGGAGGGGGGGGGGTGGAAAGTGGGGTGGAGCGAGGAGGAGGGACGGGGCAGGACGAGGAGGAGGAAGAGGAGGTGGAGGAGGAGGAGGAGGAGGAGGAAACCACGGCCTGCCGAGGCCGTGACAGCGTGCCCGCCCACATGGGGTCCAGCCGCGAACGTACATCCTCCACCACATGTACACCCCATAATCTTCCTATGCTCTTACATCATATCAGAGTGAGGGGGCCGAACGGTCATTCATTATCCCTGGGTGCGTGGCTGAAGTTAGAATCCGTGGTGAGGCTTCTGCTTGTTGCGTTGCCGTTGTTGTTGTGGTTGTGGTTGTGGTTGTGGTTGTGGTTGTGGTTGTGGTTGTGGTTGTGGTTGTGGTTGTGGTTGTTGTTGTTGTTGTTGTTGTTGTTGTTGTTGTTGTTGTTGTTGTTGTTGTTGACGAAAACACTCACCGGTGTCTGGTGGCTGAGCCCCCCCCAGCAACACAACAACACAGCATCAGCGCAACAGCGCAACAGAGCCCCCCACCCACCAAAAGAGCAACAACGCCACAAAGCACCCGCCCCAGCAACAGCGCAACCGACGACAGAGCAACAGACGCAATAGACAACCTAATTCGAGCCCCCCCAGCAACAGAGCAACAGAGCAACGATTTCGGCGTACCCCTCATATGCTTCGTTGCCCCACAGGGGGCTCTACCGAAGGCTTCGGGCTAATTTCTACACAACCCGCAGTGGCTTCGTGGCTCCACAAAGGGGGATTCACCGATGTTTTCGGGCCGATTTCGGCGCACCCTTGACACGCTTCGTGGCCCCACAGTGGCTCCACCGAATGCCTCAGGACTAGTTCTTTTCTACCCTCATACGTTTCGCGCCCCCCACAAATAAGGTGTTTCGCCGATGGCCTCGAACCGATTTCGGTGCACCCCTGACACGTTTCGTGGTCCCAAACGAGGTTTCAGCGAACGCCTCATGCAATTTTCAACACAACGTCACACATTCCGTGGCATGACAAAGGGGCTCCACCGAGGGCGTTTGGCCGATTTCGACGCCCCTCTCAAAGTTCGTGGTCCCAAAAAGGGGTTTCAGCGAACGACTCAGGCCATTTCCAATAATATCACACATCCCGTGGTATTGGAGGCCGTTGATTTCTAGTAGGCGTCTTAGTAAGGATTCTTGGTAGGATTCCTAGTAGGACTCTTGCTGGGCTCCTAATTTGTTTCGTGCTAGAGCTCTTGTTGACGATGGCAACGGCGCGGCGTACATCGGAAACGCTGGCGGCGAACCGACGCCGCCTTTTCATTTCCCCCGCATCCTGAGCACGTTTCGATTGTCACAGACCACTCTCTCACTATCATCCTTCCCCCCCTTCCCCTCTCTTTCTTACCTAACAGCGAAGACTGATAGGCTTCTAGTAGGGTCAAAAGAGAGCATCATGACGCCCCAGGGGGGTCTGGACGCGATCCGGGGGAGGGTGCCGGCGTTTTTTTTAGCCAACAGTTACACACCTCGTGGTCTTCGAGGTGCCAGGACTCCATTCCCGGGCCACATTCTGAATGCCCGGAGCCAACTGTAGGCCACTTCGTGGTCTTCGAGTTCCCAGAACTCCATTCCCGGGCCACATTTTGAAAGCCCAGAGCCAACTGTAGGCCACTTCGTGGTCTTCGAGTTCCCAGAACTCCATTCCCGGGCCACATTTTGAATGCCCGGAGCCACATGTAGGCCACTTCGTGGTCTTCGAGTTCCCAGAACTCCATTCCTGGGCATGATTTTGAATGCCCGGAGCCAACTGTAGAACACTTCGTGTTCTTCGAGTTCCCAGAACTCCATTCCCAGGCCACATTTCGAATGCTGAGGCAGGCTGATGCTGAGGTTGAGGCAGGCTGAGGCTGAGGCAGGCTGAGGCTGAGGCCGAGGCTGAAGGCAGACTGAGGCTGAGGCTGGAGGCAGGCTGAGGCTGAGGCTGAGGCAGGCTGAGGCTGAGGCGATGCAGGCTGAGGCTGAGGCAGGCTGAGGCTGAGGCACGCTGAGGATGAGGCCGAGGCTGAAGGCAGACTGAGGCTGAGGCTGAAGCAGGCTGAGGCTGAGGCTGAGGCAGAGGCAGGCTGAGGCTGAGGCTGAGGCAGGCTGATGCTGAGGCAGGCTGAGGCTGAGGCTGAGGCTGATGCAGGCTGAGGCTGAGGCAGGCTGAGGCTGAGGCCGAGGCTGAAGGCAGACTGATGCTGAGGCTGAAGCAGGCTGAGGCTGAGGCTGAGGCAGGCTGAGGCTGAGGCAGGCTGAGGCTGAGGCTGAGGCAGGCTGAGGCTGAGGCAGGCTGAGGCTGAGGCTGAGGCTGATGCAGGCTGAGGCTGAGGCACGCTGAGGATGATGCCGAGGCTGAAGGCAGACTGAGGCTGAGGCTGAAGCAGGCTGAGGCTGAGGCTGAGGCTGAGGCAGGCTGAGGCTGAGGCTGAGGCAGGCTGATGCTGAGGCAGGCTGAGGCTGAGGCTGAGGCGGATGCAGGCTGAGGCTGAGGCAGGCTGAGGCTGAGGCCGAGGCTGAAGGC